ACTTGTCTTTTAGGTTTCGATCTTGGCAGATTTTTGCTCGTTAAATAAATTCATATACCGATTTGTTGAACGATCTTCATTTCATAATGCAACTGTTTATGCTGCATTACTTTAATCTCTTAACTTTCAATATCGTCGGAAGATCAAGGTTTGCGCTACTACCCATTCGTACAAAGTACAGCTTCTGAATTATATTTTGTGCAGACCTGTGGCTTCCTTTGCCACTAATAGAAACGTAGGGTGCGCGATAGCTCAAGACCTTTCTCTTCTTCGGCTAAGGATTCAAATGTTAACGAAAACTGCAAGATCCGGGAAGAGAAAAATAGGCAACTTTGATAAGTGCCTGTTGTATTGCGTTTTCTCGGCGTTCAGAACTTCTGCACCTTTGCACTTACAGACCCGTTTCTACTTACCTTCTAGATTCATGTATGAATTTCTATCCAACTGTACCTGCTGCTTCGCATGTGCGACAGGGCGATTATTCGACCCCCTTACCGTAATGTTATCTCATGTTGCAAAACTGCCCTTGCCTTTAGGAGCCATTGGAACTTCTTCCCTTTGTTCATAGGATACTGTTTGAGTGAATGGCAAGTCTTCACTATTTTCTACCTAAAATATAACAAAATTCAGACGAAATCATGCTACGAAATTTTTTCCCTGTTGGCTAAATCTCAAATTTGTTGAGCAGCAGTCTAAAGTAACCCTTTGGCTAGAAATTAAGGCCTCGTCTGGGAATTTTTTTATTGAATTTGCTGTATTTATGTCATTTTCAGTTATTAAAATCTTTAATCCATTTCATTTTTTTCTATGATTACATATTCAAGACGGACGTATTTATTTATGTTTCTGTTTAAAACGGAAGTGTTGGCTTACAAAACTACTGAGATGGAGAATAACCTGCACAACTCACTGTTCCGAGTTGTGCAACCAGGTCGCACAAATCACTTGTTTTTACAGACTAGGAGAGCATAAAAGCATGCCATGGCTTCATGGTGTTTGAGCACCTTCGATGCATCGATGCATGCCAACAACGCAGTGCTGGCCCGAACCACGTGCATGTTCACGACGTTTGGAAAGAACGTTTTTGGTTTGAGGTTTTTTTTCTCAGATCAAATGTTCAAGACACACGTATGTGTATTTTTTGTGACCTTTTAGTGCCCGAGGCTGTTGGGAATCGTGTGTCCGGTTGAAGATCAGTCGTTCCTGATGTATTTCTTATTTGTTCATTGCTTGAGATTTTTTTTGATCCCAAACTTTAGCGTATTAACTTGGTTCTTCTGAGAATTATGAAATAGTGAAACAGTTTTCTTAACATGCATATTCAGGTTCGTTTGAAACCCTGTTTTCAATAGTTCTTGCATTATTCCTTTTATTTTTTCGGCTTGTTGCGAATGGAAAGATAACTTGATGACTGAAATGCATCCAGCTGATATTCATGTGTTTTCTACTTTCAACACAGTCTTTTGGAATTCTTGGTATTCAGTGCTCTGTGATTACCTGCTGTAAATCTATCTTTTAAACTGCTCATAACAGGATTTTTATAGTGCTTTGGAACCAGTCGTCGGAAACGCCGAAACATCGTGGAAACGGAGGGGCATTTCTCTGAACGTTTTGGAGACCATGAATCAGTGGATGGCGCGAAATCGTTCGTGATAACGAAGTACGTCGTAATTGAAGACGGTCACAGAGGTAATGTCGAATCAGGTTCTTCATTGTCCTGGGACAAGGGCCATAGCAGCAGGTGCAAAAGCCTAGGCAATTAGCGTTTATAAGCCAGATCACCGGCAAATTCACCTACTCCTCATTAACTAGCAAAAATAGGATAAGTATGATTATGCATTCACAGGAATGATTGCATCACGTATGTTTTTCAGCAACGCTTATGCCATAAAATTGATATTTCCTAGTCCCATTTAATTTTGTCCTGATTTTTCGTCCATCCAGCCCACAAATCCTTAGTTATGCTTCAAAGGGCAAATGGAACGATAAAAAAAATTAACTTTACTTTCAGGCGAAAAGATTAGTGCCAGTAGTTGCACATAGTTCTTCAACCCAAGTTTCTACCAATGGTACCGTTTCCTTATGCTGATTTGGTTTAAACCCATTTACGCCTGTGAA